TGGTGAACATGGCCATACCCACCATGGAGGTCAACAGTAATTTTTCCAAGGGGTACACAATAAATGTTGTGAAATAAAAATAACTCCTTTGATACTTTGAAGCCCCAAATCTCCCCTAGCAAGTTCAGTTTTTGGACCTCTGTATTTCTAAAACCCTGCGTACAGCAATGCTGGCGAGGAACTCCTAAATGCCTGCACAACTATAGGGTAACTGTAATTAATTATTAATTATTACTGAAACGTATTAGTGATAAGTTACACTACTAGAAAGTCATATTATTACTGTAATATCATAAAACACCACTATATATGTGTGCCGCACTGTATGTAATCAGTATAGCATCTGAGGATGAGTATATGAAGTATTCAGCAGCATGAAACTCTAACTGGACCGTAACCATTGGTTGCTTTCTTTTGCGCCGTATCGACCTCTTCATATCAAGACCAATAGATACTAACACGGTTTGTTCTCTCAGCCATCAATTTGCTAAACAGTGCATGAGAGAGGAATTCAAGTGGAAGCACTTTACAACAGGAAACTGCATTGCGCTCCTTTATACTGTGTGTTTTATGCACTACATCGTGATCTTCTCCTTCAAACTGCTGCAGATCAATCACCCAACAAGATTAGAATTAAGTCGAGGTTCAAAACATCTACCTGGTGAAAGTGAAATCATCCCCCCCTTCAAAGATTACATTCCTTATTCTCTCACACTGGCAGGCATCAAATAAAACTTTATCAAACCCAGCAGCATTATCTGCCAGTGCTTTAAGATAATTTGACTAAAAACTCCATGAAATGAGCTCCCTAAGCCGGGATACGAGATAAAATCACCTGCCGAGCTTGCAGTTTGCCTGAAAGTTATTTTGTTCAACATGCAGCTTTATTTAATCATTCTCACTGCCTCACAGAGATACAAGAAACTCGGCTCAGTAAAAGTGTTGTGTGCGACAATATTAAATCAGCGCTGCTCAGTCAACTTTCTCCGGACAAAGGAAAGGTTATTAAATCAACAGAGGAAATGGTGTTGAGGCTGTGGAGCGTGGCTTTGTTTATTTACAAGGGCATGGTTTGCTGTAAGGGTTTCACACACACACACATGGCTACAAACCACCTTCTACTGCGGCAGCGATGCTCAAAAACTCTGCAGTAAATTGCTTTGCTCAAAGGAAACTTCACACAAGTTTCCCGGCCCAGATTTTGACCTGGTTGGACTCGACCAGGCAACCATCCAGGGCCCAAACTGGCCTCTCAAACCGAACTGAATCAAGAGATGGAGCACTGAGGAGAGGGCTGTAAGAGACTACACCTTTCACTCAATGCACACGCCCGTCTGTAATACGATATCAAAACACCATTACAAAGCCAAGGACGCAGGATGTAAAGATCCCAGAGGTTTACTTATGCGAACAAGAATCTAGATATTTATGCACATATATTCTCTCATGGATGTTTAATGTGGCTGTAAAGGTTTTATCATGACACTGAATTTAATGTCTAGTATGACTTGCTGTAACCCAGCGTCCCTTCGGGGACTGTAACTAAACAAAACAAAAGAAGACTGAATGATTTCAGGCTTTAAAAGTATAGATTTCTGTCCAATAAGGATTCTGTTTTATCCCAATCTAATCATGCACCACTGCAGTACAGTTTTAAAAACGTAACTTATGCTATCAAAAGTTATATATATGCGAGATTTTGAATATTAATATGGCAGCAGGTGACCATTTACTGTGAAAATATATAGTGGAACAGTCCTGAGCACTCCCTCTGCGTGTGTGTTGGTCCCTGAGCTGTGCTTTCTATATACAGCCAGTGAGGTCGCACGTGTGTGTTTGTGCATGTGAGTCCCTCTGTTTCCAACTGCGACTAAAACAGCTGTTTTCTCATCTACATCACTGATTTATTTTCAGAATTTGGGGATTGTTGGAACAGTGGAAAGACTAATAAAGGTTGTTTTGGTGTTTGAACAAAGTTACGATGTTACAGGTAAAATTACAGTTTTTGTAAATGGAGTCTTACTCTTTAGAAAAGCCAGTTATATTAATATTTTCACATCTAACTGGGTAAATTAAAGTTTGCACCACCTCTGCACTGAGTTTTAAGTTGTTTGTTCCCAGTTTAAAGTGTGTTTTACGCTTATCTGCAAGGTAAAATTACTGATTTTGTCAATGGAGTCTGGTGGGCCGTAGTGCAACATCTACTGGCACTTGACTTTTGTATATAACCTTTAAATAAAATCTAATATAACCTGACTTTTTTGTTACCCTGGGTTATTCAAGTGTCATTAAGTTTAAACAGCAACAACAATGGATGATATGATGGGCACATTTTAGCTACAAACAATAAAAACAGCTTTAATTAGCCAGCTAATGTGCATCTCGGCCAGTGGGTCAAACTTTTTAAAATCATAACACCTCTAACAGGGATTTTTCTTTTCTGAGCCAGAAAAAACCTGTTGCTTTATTGTGACAAGTGACAAGTGGTCGCCATGAGCTTTCATGTCATTATTTGTGGCATCACCGCACCCAGGTCATCAGACACTTTGGGCCCCTGGGACTCAACAATCAACTATCTTTCTTTGCTCTGATTGGTTGTTTTTGTGTCTCATGTACTGTGATATAGTACAAATGTGACAAAAAGTTATTTTATTTACCTTACTTTGTTTTTATATGGTGAGTTTAATAGTTATTGCTTATTTCTTCTGCGTTGAAAACATAATAAAGTATAAACTTCACCTTATTATTAAAAATGTACAATAAAAAATGATCCAGGCATTGGTGTGGTTTAACTTCTTCCAATGTGAAACACAAGGCAGCTTGGAAAAACAGACTCAAAGCAGCTTTAAGGTGCAATCGCTGTAGCACCTCTGGGGTTATTCAGTCTGCCTCTAATCTATTTCAGTTGAAGCTTGTACGACTGATAAATTCAAGAATGTCTGCCTCTCTTGGTGCAATCTGTGGCCGCCAGACATGGGGTCTCATTTTAATCATGCAAGTGCAACAACAAATGCAAAGTGGTAGGTCTTGGGCAAACTGACCTCGCTCTTTTAGCTGTGTGGGATTAATAAATGCACTCTCAGCCAGTCACATCACTGGTCTCATAGCTGTGAAAGAGCTGAGTCGATCACAGTGACTCATGGCAACAACAACTCAACAATTAAAGACACAGCTTCTTCAGGAAATCAGATTGTTGTCTGGATGGTTCAGAGCAGCGTGATGTGAACACACAGTGCTACAAATCTGAAGCCAAAGGCAGATGTTGTGGGGTTTTTTAACAGTTAATTAGTACAACGATGAGACGTAATAAAAAAAAATTGTTTAAAAAAAATAGGTAGTTTGGTGAGGCAGTTTACAGGATCACATTAATCTGACACTGGCTACGTGTGGATGTCAGACTGACCTATGAGGCTGTCGGGGCGGGGCAGTGCGCTCCTCTGGTACAGGCCGTATGGATCTGCTCCGTAGGCCAGTGGCTGGCTCTGCCTGGGCAGCGTGGAGCCATAGTGCTGCGGCACCGCCGTCATCCCCGAACGAAGCGGTGACCCCGTCAAACCCCTCCCCTCCACCAGAGAGAGGGTGGAGCCAAGACGTCCACCAACTCCTCCTCCTCCTCCTATCACAGTTCCTCCCCCACCACCCAGGGCCTGTGTGACGTCAGTCGGGGACGTTGGCGAAGGGCAGGAGGGCGGCATGCTGGTGCCGGGGAATACGGCGGCCAGAGGTTTTGGCTCCGAGAGGATGGGCGAATCATAAGTGCTGCCTTGGGATGTTCGCAGGGAGATGCGGGAGGGTGAGACAGTGCCAGCAGTGCCACCAGGAGACTGGCTCCTGGAGGGGAGGGAGGCCATCCTCCTTAACATCCGGCCAGACACCTGTAAAGAAAATGGGAACTTAACTTACTTTTTTTTTTTTTTACCAGAGTAGTTACAAAAAAAGATCAAAGCATTTACATTGACCCAAATCAAATAATTAATTTGGTGCCAAAGAGATAAGGGTAATGATGTTTGGATCTTTTTTCATTGCTGTTTTGTGGTAGTGTGCAGTAGTTCTGGAAAGGTTTACCAGAGCAGCCTTAGTACCATTTCTCCTTTTGCTTTGGGAATGTATTTCTACAATTGTAATTAAGATTCACCTGATTCTCCAAGTATAACATCCATAACACTGTTGACAATTAATCAGTTCAACATTTCTATTTTCTGAATAAACACCTGAAAAATGAAAATTAGACTATGAACATCGCACTGCTCCCATTTGCAAATATACTTGCCAATTACCAGTAATGTGACACATGGAGGCAGGATGCTTTATCACGACTGATGAAGGACATCATTATGTTTCTCATTTGTCCAAGTAACTGAATGTGCGTGCCTCTGAATAAATGTCTAAATTCATTATAGTGTAGGCTGAGCTCTGCAAGTAGTAAATATATTACGTTTCAGGGAAGATTTGACAGAATATTTCATATTTATGATGACAAACATTTACTTTTTCCTTCTTATTACCAAATGTGAAATGTCCCTCAATTACAGACTCAGCCAACTGGATGCCGATCTGTGCCGCCTTAATCCATCAAAGCCTCGAACGCCTTGATGGAAAATTAAGAGCCGAAACATGTAAGCCCATCCAGTGAGGCTGCTTCGTTTGGAATAAATCGGGAGAAAATGCAAATGGCCTCAGTATTATCTGTCATTGCTGCTTCTGTTGTCATGCAAAAAGCATATAATTATTAGCCACAATGAAATGAGCTGATAGTGTTTGAGTGTGAACAATTTTAAGGAAAGATTAGATTTCTTTGAACGGTTTAGCAGATATTCTTCATCATTCATGACAGTAATTATTGAGTCCTCACCGGCTGTCTTTACTCTAATATCTTCAGGCATCTTGACATCTGAAAAAATACTAACATGTGGGAAGTAGAATATGATTTCTCATAACAAAAAAACAATCTCTCCACAAGGTTCAATTAATTAGCTGTGCAGGAGATTTCAATCATAATGTTATCTTTACCAGCAGTGGAAGTTTGCCCATGTTGTCATCAAATTGTAAACGTTTATTTACAATTAGCATTCTCTCCTCGAACATTTAAAGGACTTCTCATCCATATTAGCTTGACAATTTAAAAGTTAACTCACTTATTTGTTCATTTGAAAGCTCCAGAACGGCTACTAAATCAACCTTGTGAGGAAATAGTTTTCTCAGCTGCTTTGCAAGGTCGAGAATAATCTTTGAATGGATGAGGAATACTTAAAATGTTGAAGTAATTGCTTACTAAGCCCTGGCCCAGTTAAATCTGTCAGTTTACAAAGATAACAGTGGCAATTTACCATCAAAATTCTTAATTTTTTAAACAATGGATCCATGATTTCGAAGCCAGGCATGATATCAAAAGTGAGCATTATACAGCTATGGTCCATGTAGAAACAGCTCTTGTATTTCTGTGTAGAGCTAGGTCTAGTATAAGTAGAAAAAATGTAAGATCAGACTGTTATTTAAGTATAACCACGCCTCCAGGAGAGCGCCAGGCTTTGAAGCCAATTTGACATAGTGGCCAAACTGTGTAATTACAGCAATGGTGTCCGTCACATGATGCACGCTGGCCCAAAAAGATTTTTTACAATAAAGTTACATTGTGAAGGAAGCGGCTGTAAAACTGTGATTCTTTTTGTTTCACCATCAGAATTTGATCCATTGATTGTTTTCTCTACTCTCCAAGGTCAATAATCAATTTCTAATACTTTTTTATAGACTTGTACAAATGCAAACATGTCTGTGCTCGTCTATTGATGCAAAAAAATACATTTAAATGATGGTGTCACTCAATGGAGATAAGGCCTACCTGCCCGGAAGCTTGACCCTCAGCTCTTGGGCTCCTCGATATGGAGGCTCGGGGCTCTGAACGCACCACGTTCTGGTTGCTATAATAACTAACACTGCTGTCCTGGTAGCCACTGTCTGAATACGAGGTCATCTGAGCCGAGTGTCCTCCTGAGCCTGAGAGGACAGAGAGATAAGAAGGTGAGGAAACAACGAAGAGGGTGAGGAAGTGCTTTGCCTCTACTTTTCCCGCTCAGTGCCTCTTGTGAAATGTTAGCTAGAAGTGTAATGAAACTGGTTAGCACAGCCACCACCATCACATCAGCGGTTTAATAATTTGCATATTATCTCAGTAACTCTTTCAACTTGTTAAAAGGCATTATGCATATAAATACATACGCACAGATATCTGCATTAAGCCTTTATGCTGTTCCTGGAACAATCTGCATATACTGTACAGCTTCAATAATGCTGGCCTACTTTCTTCTGTAGGATGAGGAGGAGGGAGCATGTGGGGGATATTTTTATACTATCAGACCACTCCAACTGTACGGAATATAAACAAGACCAAAGGCAAACTTGTTTTTTACAATTTCAAACAGCTACACGGAAGTTACATGTTTACCAATGATATTGTAATTTATTGTAATAAGAGGGAGATTGAATAAAGAGCTCTCAGGATTTGGTTCAGGCAAGTTGTGTTTGACGAAAGTATTTGAAAAATGGTTCCTATCCTTCTCTGTAATCTGTCCAAAAAAAGGGAAAAGATTAAAACAGCAACCCTCCTGCTCACATAAGAATTCACAGCTGTACTGACTGCATCAGCGCTTCGCTCTATTGGCCACCCATGTTTCGTGGTTTTACACAAGCACTGAGGAAGCTTGATGGACCGAAGTGTCAGCCGCTCCAGTGGAAATGCCTAATGTCCGACAGCGACAGGCTGCGGTTGCACTGCAGAGCTCCCAGGTGTGAATACATGTGAAACTTTTCAGATAAGACAGTTATAAAATAGAGAATAGAATTCAGACAGCAGTGGTGGCATACTTTATGTTTTGGGTGATTTATACTGATCTGACCAGATGGTGACCATAATGTTTTTATTATTATTTTTTTATTTTTTTATTTATTTTTTTTAAATGGCACCACATTTTTAGCTCTTTTTTTAATATGTTTTGATATGAATCTGAGTGACTGCCTGGGAAATCTGCACATCAGCCTCTTACTGTAGTTAGAGTGGGATCGGTGGGATTTGTTAGCGAGGTTCAGATTTCTTCTACTTGGCAAGTGTATTTATGTGGGTGGCCTCCATGGTAGCAAGTTGACCAACAATAATTAAGTCTTCCTACTACCTTTACAAAAGGATTTTTGTATCAGATGGTAAAATACATGAATCCTGCTGCCACAAATACTAGAGCAACAACGGTGGACTAGTCCAGTTCAGCTTCTTAAGTTTTTTATCAATATTAGAACAGTTTTGGTTATTTCACAGCAGAGATTTCTGTATTTTGTGTTTATTTCTGAGTAGTTCACTAGTTTAAAGTGAGTGTGGCTCAGCTGGTAAAATGTGATGGTGAATGGACTGCACTTAGTCTCCCGACCACTCAAAGGGCCTTACACGTCACATTCACATGTCACACACTGATGGCAGACTCTCTGATTAGTGGAGACAGTTGGGACTGAGCATGTTATTTCTCTAACTTTTTAGTAATAAATATTTAATGTTATGCAGACACAATTCATATTTGAGACCAGGTGTTCAGGGGCTTACTCTAACCCATTTAATCAAATCAAATATAAAATCATTAGATTCATCTCTCAAAGTCTGAACTTCTGGTTTGGACCTCTATTAGACAATGTAAACATGGCAAGAAATAAAGCATGAAAAGAAGCATCTATCTGATTACAGCAGGGCCTTTGAACTCAAATTGTCTTAGGGCCACTGCTGGTATTGTCATATACATCATACTAGCAGTTTCTATATATTTTTATAGCATCTTTGTCAGCCAAACAACAAATTAAGGTTTTAAACTCTCTTTTCATCGACCGTTTGCACGCATTTGCAGCTTTTGCCTTTGACTTTTACCATTTATTATTTATTTATTTATATGAATGAAATACTTATTTTTTATAGATTAAAGTAATAATTCAACCAACCAGACATAAAAAAAAAATGTTGCCTTTTCTCCAGATTCTGCTTGCAACATCATAAACTCCAGTACCCGCGAAAAAGACCATGTGGTGTGTACATTTAACAGACCCTCACTGTCATGCAGGGAGGCGCGGTCCGCTTCAGGCATGTAGAGTCCCTCCTCCCCCTCCAGGTGACGACCAGGACTTCCAGACGCCTCCAGGACTCCGCCCTGCGACTCTCCGCCTGTCAAAGCATCTGCCATTGAGTCAAAAGCATACAGCAAGTCCTGGCCAGTCAAACATTTATGTGTGGATTTAGATACCCACTGGCTGAACACATTTTCCTACAAAATGAAAACACTAAATATAAAAACAAAGTCTGTGTGAGAACAATTTAGTGGCATCACCTTTGCAGACAGAATCCTCTTCATCTAAAAAACTAAAAGTATCGATTCTTTGACACAAAAGAATACAACATTTTATAGCAGTACTTTTGTTTTATTGGGAAGTTGACAGTGAAGAATGGACCAGGAAACAAAGCAGAGGGATCTGTGACAGAATAGTAAATGGGTCTATATATGCTGGTGGAAACATTGCTTTGTTTTGCTTCACCGGTCGGTGCTGCATCCTGGCAGTTTTCAGCCCTTTAAAGGCTAAAATGACTTTCTATATCTGAAAAAATGCTTTCTTTTGTGCCAAAATCATACAGATTTTAATGTGTAGGACCCTTTTGTTTACAGAATCGGATGGTAACACTCACTTGTGGTTTTGAAATCTGAAACTGTAATCTTTTTGTCATCTCATCTTCTTAAATATAGCTTTTTACATCCATTATCTATGACCGTTTAGCCTTTGCAGGGTCGTGGAGGGCTGGAGCCAATCCCAGCTGACATTTGGCTTTTCATAATAAATGTTAAAGCTTAAAATTAAGAAATCGTACCTGCTGATCTCCATGCAAACGACTTCTCCGAAGAGCTTTAGCAGAAGAGAAGAGGAGGAAATGGAGGACAGGAGAAAGCAGAGACAGACGTAAATCAAATCAGAGTCATGGCCGAATACTTTATATTCAATCAGTCCGGGAATAGGAAGAAAAACAGATATAGATGGAGGAAATCTGTTGCCGCAAAAACATTTCTTCACATTCAATCTATTGGGAACTAGAATAAGGCCTCCCTCATTATTTGTGTGAATTTCGATTTACTTTTTCAAATTGATAAAAATGAAAGTCAGTTGACCCCAGCTGGGAATCAGACATGTTATATAACCAGACGCACACTGTGTTGTCTGAGCTGAGAAAACACCTGCAGCTGAACACAAAACACTGCTAACAAGAACAGAAACCATCTTTTACCTGGGCTGATACCATAATATGCAAGATTATAACCAAAATCACAGCTGGGTTATTGGATATTGTGGTTATTAAACATAAAACAATCTTGAATCTTCTCTATTTGTAGGTACATCAAAGTGTCAAAATTTAATAAAACGTAAAAATAAGTGTCGATTTTTTGCTAGGCTCAACACTAAATGGGGTTTTGTGGATCTGAAGGTTTGTGTTCAGAGTGATGCGTGCAGGTTGTGATAGCACAATGTGACTGTCAACTATCGGAACATCATCATTCCTCATGACGACAGATATTACTGTTATGTGGTTTGACAGAGCGGTCTGCAACCAAGCACGACTTACAGCCAACTGTAAACCCATATGACAACAGTAATTATGTTTTGGGGGAATTGTAAGACTACAATTTAATTTAATTTCTAAAAAAAGAGATGTTAACTGAATCTAAAGTGTAATTAGAGAAAGAGAGCCAGTCAAAAACCAAGATAACATTGTTTTATCAATCTCTTTTTAGAAAATAATGTATTAAATATGTTCTGTTACATAACTTTGAACAAATAAAAACAGGCTTTTGCATCTCATACAGACACTAAAGGGAGCCTTGTGCATCAGTATGAGACGCCAAAGGGCCAATGCAGACATCAGGAGGCTGAAATATACTTTTTATTGTTCTTTCTATATTTTCAGGTAAATGCAACAACTTAAATAAATAAATAAGATATCAAAAAAATCTGTTATTGTATTAGCAGTCTTTTTGTTCATAATTTGTGATTCAACAAACGTGTAAACTTCATGTCATCAAACTTACCTGCTACTGTCTCCTGCTGGGGACTCAGCTCCCAGCATGCACCTCTCTAGCTGGCTCGCCACAATCTGCCGCTCCTCCTCCAGCTCCCGAGTCAGCCGCTCAAACTGAAGCTCCTACGGGAAGACATTTACGGCAGCGATTACAACCACGACACGGCAATTTAAGCCTCCTTTTTAAGACCCATTTGATGCCAGTTAGAATTAAATGTAAAACCAATTTTGTATTTGGTCTGCACGACTTGACTGATTTCTCACCGGCTGTGAGCTTGCTGAGTGATTTTTCCTAAACCTGTTAAAGTGGATTCAAGATTTAAAACACTAAAACCGTGTCCGGGACCTTTTAACAGCCTTCAGTTCAGATAATATAACTATACACATTTTAAAAATGTCAGTACAAAGCAGCAGAGAATGATGAAATATAGATTTCAAGGCTAAAAATAACTATAGAGGACAGATATGACCTGCTGCTCATAAGTTGATTATTCTGATCCACTTTCATTTATTTAATTGATTAATAGAATAAGTTTGATTCTTAAAATACTGTCAATCCAGAGATCCCGTTTCCAAATATAGAAGACAAGAAAACTGGTAAATATTCAAATTTTAGAAGCTGGAACCAGAATTTTTTTTGGCATGTTAACATAAAAAAAAGGCTAATTTTTCATTCATGATCCAAATTTTGTAGATTAACTTTGTGTTGGTTGATTAATTGATGGATTATTTTAGATCTATGGAGGCAAATCAATTTCTTTAAAGGTCTAGTGTGTCACATTTAGGAGGATCTATTGGCAGAAATGGCAGAATGTTTTCATTAGTGAATAATCACCTGAAAATAAGAATTGTTGTGTTTTTGTTACTTTAGAATGAAACGTTTTTATCAAGAAAGGGAGCTTGACCGCCATGTTTGACCACCATGTTTGACCACCATGTTTCTACAGTAGCCTAGAACAGACAAATCAAACTCTGGCTTTTTTGTGTTTTTCACAACTATAAGTGAGCTACCCCTGTAATTACATTTTTAATTAATAAGTAAACAACTGTCTTATTGCTCCTGTTTTACAAGTTGATTGCGACAGATGAACAAATAAAACCCCACATAAGGAGGCTGGGTTGTTTTTTCACAGCAGAGAAAAGCACAGAAAGCACCTTTGTAGATCAAATAGACGTCTTTTCAATATAACTATTTGATTTTACATAAAAGTTGCATAATTTAATTGAAAGTTTGCTTTTTGAGTGCCCTGGTTAACTTTTAATGTACATACTGCAGTCTCTATTTTTAGATAAGCACACAGTGTTTCTAATAAATTGTCGCCTGGACATTAAAGCGTAGAATATGTTCCTTTTTTTCCTAATACTGAATAAATTTTGCCCACCAGGAAGACAACTTACATTTATCATTGTGTCAGTTGTGAATATACAGAGGAAGGCTGAGGGGAAACAATCCAGTATGCTTCTTTCTGATCACAACAATAAATATAAACAGATGCTCTTTGCCATTTTAGGTGCATATTGGGATGACAGTAAAGATTGTTTCAAGTCAAACTGAAACTCTTGTAGGACTTTTGATGGCAGTATAGGACACATTTTGCCTTCCGTCCACCATGACTTTCCCTAGGATTGTGCATAACTTTATTTAAAACCATTTGAGTAAAGATAATTTGATTTTATGCATGTTGAGACTTCTTTCTCTGTTTCTGGTTTCACAGTTTAGGCTGTACCACCTACGAAACAAGTGATGAATGAGTATGTGTACTGTAGGTTAATGGGAATCAGATGCTGCTTGTTGGCTCAGTACTTTATGATTTAAGTGAATCACTGGCACATGGGCCAAATGTCCTTATTTTCCCCTGAAAACCCAACAAGTTCATGATAATGAAGCATCAAAAAGATTCTTTCAACTGGTATTAGTGGTTTGTTCACTAACAAAATGTGATTAGGGACAAAAAACAATGTGATATCTTTCTTAAAATATCCATGAAATCTAGCCATCAGAGTGTACTTTTGGCAATTTTAACTAAAGCACTACCACATTATATTGTGTATCTGTTAAAAACCCTGAGACACTGGTGGACTCAAGGCGTTAAAAAAATGCAGGTGGTGCCCTTCCAGTAGACAAAACACGATTCAGCGCCCTCGAAGGTGCTAATCCTAACCCTGACTAAGCTGTTTCACCATAAATGCATCACAACTTTCTGCGCACTGGTGCTCATTTTATATTTTTCGCCATTCCCGCTCGAACAACCACTGCCTGAGAGCTGGTAGGGATCCGATGCCTTGCTCGAAGGTATGAAAGCGGGGCAGATGTTTGCCAACTGCGGCCGAATGGCTGGTGGTTTTGGCACTCTCTCATTTGAACTCTGTTACATAACACAGAGGCTTCCCAGCTGCTTTATAAATCTTCTAGGAAGCACAGCTGGTGTCATCACAGAGGTCCACCGGAGAATTAGCTGTCTGCAAAAAATGTCTAAATATAAAGTAACCCAGCTTCCCAGGAAACCTTGTTGTGGAGTAATTCAGGAAATGGTCAAGGGTCTGATAAGGTTGACTTGTTCACTCCGACACAGTAACTTGGTTGTTTAGTTTGGGGTTTTAAGGTCATCTTCAGCCCTGCAGTTTGGAAGACGTATTCAGATCCTTTCCTTTAATTAAAAATATCCCATTACATCCCAATAAAATGTCCCCTGTGACTGATATCTGATTATATGTGAATGGGCAGCATTTTACTGTTGTAGCTGCTGGTTCCAGCTACTTTATATACAGTTAGTTTAGTCCAGTGGTTCCCAGCTTATAGGGAGATGATTAATGCAGCAGGAGAGAGGGCTAATACATAATGATTTTATATGAAGGCATAAAAGGTTGAAATCAGTGGTTTAATCTTTAACAGTGGATTGTATTTTATCATCAAGTTTTTAGTACAATATTGTAGCAGAGTAGCAGGTACAAAATAGCAGAAGAAAACACTTCCTTATATCTGCACTCAGTTTATTTGTAAAGTGTTAATGTAAAAGGGAAGACTTTCATTGACATTTGGTGCAATCATATTTGATAACTGAAGAGAAAAGGCGTGTGTTTGTTAAGATTTTATGTACTGTCTATGTGAATTTGTACCAGAGTTACTATAGTTTAGTTTCAGTTAGTGTCTAGAGTTGGTTTTATTCTATTGTATTTTTTGAAGTAGGGCAAAAGTCCTTCAAATCATGATCCTCTAAAAACTACAAAAGACACTTATTTCCATCTCTTCATAAAAGCTCTTTTGTATGTGGGTCAGCTCTGGTCATGTGACGCACGGAGCCTTGACAGTCTCTTTAGTCAGATGGTGTACAGTGATTTAGTTAATGAGTTAATGGTCTCATCGTGTTGGTTATTTGCTAGTATCTCATCCACTACAGACGGAAGAAGTCTGCATGCTATCACAGCTGACAGAAAAAAACGAAATAATAAATTCAGACATAATCTGACACTTGAAGGAGTATGACACACATATATAGACTGCCTATACATTGTCACTTTAGCTCAGACTGCATGAAACAATGATCTGCATGAGGAAATTGGGTACACACAGCCAGTTTTGCAGCGTTAATAAGTGTTGATTTTTCTGCAGCAATTATTCAGAGTTAATTGGAGAGATGTTTGTCTGCTTATGGGCTGATATGGCTCGGAGGCGGCTGCTCCAAAATAACCCAAAATGTTAATTTAATTGTGCAACCGCAGAAAAATATTTTTTTTAGCCCAGACTTACACAAGTCATGTCAAGTATTTCCTCTAAATGTTTAAGGGCTTTCAACTTTTTTTGAGAATAATGTAGCCAATTTTTTAAGGATAATTTTGTCGGCGTCTTAGAGCAAGTTAGCAGCTTCAGGGGGCTTTAAGTTGAGTAAAATGTATTAAGAAACTAAAAATATTATGCATTAAGCTCTGTAGATCTGGAAATAAGTACACTGACTATGAGTTAACACTGAGCAGTTCAGACCAATCGATAGCTGAATGGGTTGGTGCTGAAAGCTGTTGAGGAAGACAAATACATGATATAGACATCACTTAAATGTGTCGGCGCATGTAAACACCAGACTGTACAAGGTCACATCCCATGTGCCCTGAAATCTTTAACTGGAATGATTTTAATCAGAATGAAAAAAGCGCTTATTGCAACTGCAGCTTGTTACTGTGTTTTCAGTTTAATCCGTTTATCAGTTGTTCTGTACTGTTATTGACATGCACTTAATGTAATTTAACATAAAATGTGTTACTTAGTCCAGGGTCGTTACTCAAGGCGCGGAAAGATTGGAAACCACTGACCTAAAGCAGTGTTTCTCAAATAGGGGTGTACTAGTACTGCAGTGGGTACATGAGAAAATATCAGTCATGCATAATTCCTAAAATAATTATACAATAATAAGTTCAATAAAAAATGTAAATGTAAGTTCAATAAACAACATGTTGTATTTAGTATTACGATATAATGCAATCGTTAACTGCTGTAAAACTTCTGAAAAAGGTTGTAAGTTATTTGTTTTCCATGAATTCAGTGATTCTAAATATTTCAAATGAAGTGTCTTTCCTAATAAATCAGACACGGTGGCACAACACTGTATTCTGCCTCTTTATATGAGCTTTGTTTTTCTATTTTGCACTGGGATATTTCGAAAGGAGTATACATTATTGAAAGAAGTTTGAGAACCACTGACCTAAAGTATGAAGTGACAGTCTGAGATGCACTACACTAAAACAGTGTGTTTTTCAAACAACATGCTGCTTAAACGTGCTGCATGTTGCCACAGCGCTCTCTGCTTCTTACATCACTTCAGAGCAGCACAGAGACAGGACAGGAAGACACAACTCTCCTTGTTTCAGCCTAGCCACGTTACGGCACGCCTCGAGGGACAAACAGAGCCACATCGTGCACTGCGCCTGTCACCCCGTGATGTCTGGAAACACAGTTAGCCCTGCCAGGCCGATGGAAAGCCGTGCCAGGCGATGTCTCGTACCAGCTGGGGGCTACTGGACGATTCGCCATGGCTTATTGTGCGCCGTCACAAAGTGTTTTTCTCACTCTTATCGAGTGACACCAACCACAGACCTCTGCGTCTTATTCCTTCTTGCCGTGTCTAATCACG